TCCAGTATGCAAGTACCGTATTTTCCGCACTATAAGGCGCACCTAAAAACCTTCAATTTCCTCAAAAGCCAACAGTGCACCTTATAATCTGGTGCGCCTTATATAAGGACCAATATTGAGCCACAACAGGTCTAGCAACTACAGTAAGCAGCCGCAGACTTCATTCTTGCCTGTAGAAGAAGCAGTGCGCTGTGCATGCTGGGATAGTTGTCAGAACTCTGGTTTGTAATCTATTAATAAAGTTTGACTGACTTATCTAACCTACCAACCGTCTAGAATCAGGTCGTCTGCAGGTCATTTAGCACCACGTTCTCCACGAACATGCTGTGCGCGAACGGAGCAGGGTGACCATTGTCCGGCCACGCCCCGGCCCAGTCGTGGAAGGCTCTCCTCACCGACCGGAGTCGAAGTGTTTTGTTGACATTCCCTTTAGTGCAGCTCCATCTAGTGGATGCATAACTTAACTCCAGCCCCTAATGTAGCATCTATTCAGTGCACCTTATATATGAAAAAAGTTTTAAAATAGGCCATTCATTGAAGGTGCGTCTTATAATCCGGTGCACATTATAGTGCGGAAAATACGGTAGGTTGCTTAAATTTTTTCTTAGTTTTACATTACTGAAATGTCTCTCCCCATGAGCAACAGTCAAAAGCAACATGCAACTACACATAAAGCAATCCAGACTTCTCAAAAAGTCTGGATTTTGCAGATGCAACTAAACTGAATAAAATGTAGTTGCATTTTATTCAAGCTGCAGTACATAACTTTAATAAAAAAAATCTGTTTTCTCCATAATTGTTAAAGCTGTCATCATGTCGTAGCAGTTTGTTATGAGACAGATAATCTGTGAAAACAATCAATATCCTCCATCTCCGTTCTGAATTACCATTACTAGTTAAAGTAATGCACCGTTCTGACCAAAACAACCAATCAGAACTAGTAGGACGCTCTTAGCAATGTGAATTAGCCTCATTCACTCACTGCTAAATGTGCTAATGGTGGAGAAACAACATATCATTACAAGAAACCGTTGTCTGCCGTCATTGGTAGCTACGTATGCTAACTAAACTGAGCATTCACCGTTTGGATC